ACCGCCATGGGTGCTCGGTAGGGAATGCCCCTTTGTCTGGCTCCTACCGGGAGCTTCTTCCTCTTTGTTTTTGGCTTACGTTTTTCATGAAGATGGGATTCGGATTCTTCCAGCCCACGTCATTTTGGTGGCAGCATGGAAAACCTTAAAGGTGTGCTGTCTCCGGGTAATACTCTGGAAATTCTTGTTATAACTGTATAAAGAAGAAAGAATTGTGCTGACTACCTGCTGGCAGTGCTATGGAGTGTTGCGTTTGTTAAACACCAGTGAGAAGATGTTAAGTTTATTGCGTTTGGTGGAAGCAAGCACCTCGTGCTATTCCAAGTAGGCTATTTGGGAATACATACAGAAAAAGCTTTTCAGAATATTATGTCACCCATCCATTTGGTAGGAGAAATGTGCTAGTATGCAATCTTAAATAGATACTGTGATTATTCTTGTAGGAAGGTTAAAACCGTGTGACCGATCCTTCAGGAAATGGAAGACCCATGGGATAGTTGCTTTGAAGTTGTTGTCGCAGAAAGGTCAGGTGCAGAGCAGCCATCTGCATCCTCAGAGAGAAGAGCAGTCGGAGAGGCCAAGAGCGAGGACCCAGCAGAGAAGCCGCTGCTCCCAGAAGCTACAGGCACCGTACAGCCAGAGGAGGGCTGCAGGCGGCCATCTTCTCTGGAGCAGTCAAGTCCTGCACAGTGGGAATTACCCAGCGAAGGACTAGGCAGTCGAGAAGTGATCAGAAATAATGAGCAAGATGTATCTGAGCCAGATGCCCCATTCAGAGGATCATCTGAGAGTATATTTCCTGTTACCAATGAGAATTATTCTGCTTTACCTGAAGTAAGAAGTTCAGAAAGGAAAGAACAAACATGTCAAACCTCAGTACTATCAGAGAACTCAGGAAGTGGGACAGTAACAGGTAAAGAAGTTATTGGAATGTTGGACATTAGGGCTTTAAGGAGATTTTTTTGGGGGGGGCTTCTTGCACCCCCCACAGCCTCATTCTGTTCATGTTTGCTGGATTTTTGTCTTGAAGTGACTTTTTATATTCTCATATAAAACATGCTTGAAAAGGTGAGGGATGTATTCTTTATCTGAAGTTGCAGTAGCAATTTATAGACTAATACGGCATTTTATGGCATGATCTTCATTTCCAGAAACGTGTGTGAGGAGGTATAGTGTCCGGTACATGCATTTGAAAACCAGCAGTGTATAATTCACATGAGCACGTGGGCTACTAACAGTTTAGATCATAGCAATCACCTTACTGTTTTACCTCTCTTAGTCTCTCCTATAACTTACCTGCCACCCTTCCTTTATCCGTGCCTTTCTCCTGCAGTCCCTGAAACACTCCATCGTTTCCTGCACTTGTTCCTTTCCATTCCCAATTCAGTGCCCCGTTTTCTTAGGTCTTCAGAGCGGAAAGTAGCAAGTGAGTGTGGTGAGCGGCCCCTCGCAGCGTGGAGCTGCTGCCTCCCTCCCTCTGGGCTGCATTCAGGTGCTCTCGGTCTGAGTAGCTGGCGATCGCGTCCTAGTTAGGGTGCTGTACCAAAGCCAGATAGACTCTTATCTCTAAATCAAAAAGAAGTAATTTCTGGAGCTTCAAGTTAAGTAGATCTGGTTCAGAACATATTCTTTGAATAAACACCACAATGTCAAGTATTGTGTGAAAGGTAACAGTGATTCGGCCAACCTGATCGGTCTTAATTGGAGCAGGTTTACAGAAAATTTTTCAATAAAAGTTTGCTGTATAAATGGGTAACTTTGATTTAAAGTTATGCATTTGCAAATAAATACATTTACTTACAGTAACTTTTCAAAAATTGTAATATGAATGACTTTTTATGTGGTGACAATATTACATTGGATATCTTAAAAAGTGTGTGATAATACTGTTTCAGCTTTCAAGTAGACTGTCTTTCCAGACAAAAATCTGTGATAATTTTGTGTTGCAGTGTTTCAATAAAGGCAGCTTGGGGTAAACTTGACTTATTTTTTTATTTGGGGTTTGGTTTTGGGTTTTGTTTTGTTTTGTTTTTTGAGAAGCATATCAGGAATTAATTTTGGTTTTATTTTTAGGAAGCATGATTGAGGATGATGAAGCTCTTAGGAGGACTAAGGCTAAATTTGATGAAACTATCCAGTCTGAGAAGTTCTGTCCTGATCAGGAACATTCTCCTGGGAAAGCAGTTCAACAGGTTTACCACATGCCTGATGTCATAACTGTCAGAGTACAAACAGGTAAATGCTGTTTTTAAGCATGTATCAATATATATAATCATGCTATAATCTCAATCTGTTACTAAAAGAAACACTATTTCTATCTTGGAACTTCCATTTTAACAGATCCTGATTCATTCCAAGATGTAGTTGTAAAAATTGAAAGACCTTCCTATCATAAACCATTTCTGGGTGGATTTAAGAACAGGATAACAGGAGCGGAATTTCATAATGCAGGATCACAGACCATACCCAAAAAAAGACCTGACAAAGGAATTCAGTTATTTTGTGGGGAAACACAGGTAATGGCTTTGTAGTGTCTTTTTAGAATGTTGTTTTTGTCAAATGGAATAGAATGTTGACACAACTATTTCCAATAGGAATGAGGAAGTGGATCAGAAATAAGTGTGCAATTGAAAGTATTTGGTGGATGAATGTCATTAGTCTTGTGATTTTTGTTACAGATAGGTCATTTTGCCACTTATTGTAATGAGGAAAAAAAAATTGTTATAAACTGACATGCATTTTTTTTTCCCCAGACTGTTTTTGAAAAAAATAAGCCACAACAAACAAAAAATACAACATCAACACAGATGACTAAAATTGGCTTGTATGTGTCAAATGTGTCTGACAAACTACTAAGTCCTGGAAAGTATCTCACAGCGGAAGAATACCATAAACGTAGACTTGAAGCAGTAAGTTCTTATCTGTTTGAAACTATCTGTAAAGCAAAGTAGTACATGTTATCTGAATATTCAGTGAGTGTTCAGAGTGTTCAAAGAGTGAATTTAAAGTGAACTTTAAAATGTCTGCTTCACATTTTGTAATCTTTCAGATATGGAGGAAATGTGTGTTTGTGTTTTTAGTGACATTTGAGACCTTGCAATTTCTTAAATATTAAGAATTCTGAGTTTACTGTTTTCCATCTTACAGTGACAGTTAAACTTCCATATAGAACATTAGGGATTAAAACAGGCTTGCCCCTATGGCATTCTCATGATCTCCTTGGAAGGACCTAAGCTACATGCTTGATGTATGACCTCAAATGGATGGAGTATTGGGTTAAGATTTAGGAGACTTGTATTCAACTTTTGGGTCTTGTGGGTTTTGGAGGTTTTTGTTTGTTTGTTTGAACAGACCTGGTAGGTTACCTTTGGCAAACCTATCCATTTTGGATTGTGTTCAAGCTACCTGCTTTGGCATTAAGGTAGAACCTGCCTGTTCAAACACATGCAATGGGTCTGTGGGGTTTTCTGGCACCCTGAGTTGCTTCATGCAGGTGGTTCCAATGACAGATTCTGAATATTCATTGTGCAGAGGATGCCATTTAGGCATTCCAAATTGCTTTTTGAAAACCACATATTCAGTGACACCTCACTTAAGTACACCCAACATCGTGTTTGGCAGGGCATTGCTTTGTAAATGCTCTAGTTATTAATTTGATTGCTTAGAAAAGACAGTCTGAATCTAACTAAATGGAGAAACAATTGATTCCCCAAGTGTCTAAGTAGGATAATTGTATTGACACGGTTGGCAAGATGCTTTGAAATCTTCTACCTAGAAGTTTTCTGTAAGAACTTCTTATTTGGTCAGCATCAGCTGATGGCAATAAGCATCTTATAGAAGTGGAACCCAAATAGGTAACAGTTTCCTTGGGACGGTTTTACTATGATTATTAGTGCCACTTACTGACATCTGTAATGTATCTATAGGTAATCTATAATGCACAGTAGAGAGGTATTAGCTTGGTATTGGTTCAAGTTGATGGATTCACACAGTGTAGTGTAGTTCCGTATTGAAATACCAGCTGAAGACATGTTCAAGAGAAATGTTAAGATATCTCTAGAGACAGTGTAACTGTATTAGTGTGGTTTTGTGCTTGATAACTTTCAATGCTGAACAATGATTCTTAGGTCATGGTATTGACCTAGCTAAACTGTGTGTGGTGCAAGTGCTAACTCTGCGGGCAGAAGCTCAGGCTTGTGTGTTGTGCTCCCTTAGCATACTGTGGACATTGCCCTCGTCTTTAATAGTCACAGCTTTGGAAGGTGGATTTTTTAATTTTCTTTTCTAAGTTCCTTCATAATAGCATTGGTAACTTCACTTTCATTATTTGTTTACAAATAAAATGCAGTTAATTTTGTGTGTATGTGTGGATTTTTGTATCTAGAAATTCAAAAGAAACTTTGCAAATACATGTCTAAATTCCCAATCTAGGCACTGTGTAAATTGATAGCAAGATGAGGACCTCTGCCTACAAAGCTGAAGAGAAAAGAATGAAACCAATGCATGGCAAAAGATGTTTTTTAAGGGGAGATTTTAAAAGGAAAAATGAATTTCATAATTGCATTTTATATTTTAACTTGATTATTTGAACCTAGTTTCTCCACTGTACTCACTGGTTAAACTCCTGGTTAACTCATTAGTTACCTAAATGAGTAAGCATGCTAGTGTTTAGACTAATAGGTACATGACTGGTTTTGTAACATTTAAATTAGTTTGAATACAACACCAATCTTAGAAACTATAGTTAAGTAGCTAGAAAAAAATAGCAGTTAAGAACAAAATATTATGCTGTTTTGTTTTAAATTCACAGTTCTTTGGTATTGTATCACATATAGGTAATAGTATTACAGACATACTTCCGTCGTTGGCTTGCTATAAATGTAGTACAAAACCTGAGGGAAGAAAAGAGGTTAAGGCTGGCATGGGAGGCACAAGAAGAGTTGCGGAGAAAAAAAGAGAAAGAAGACAGACTGAGAAGGGAGCACGAACGCAGACTCAACGCTAAAACACAAGAAGACTTTGAGCTACTGTACCATGATTTAGAATGTAAGTTTTTTCTTAAAGTGATACTCTTATATCAGCAAAATAGTGCAATTTGTTTAAAACAAACATGTTTTTGATGTGTTTCTATAGATACTTCCTTGATTATTTTTTAAAAGTATGTAAAATGAATTTCTTTCATTTAAATAATTCTTTGACTTTCATATATTACCAGAAGCAGAAAAAAAGGCCTTGACGCTGTGTAAGCGCTGTTCAGCAATAACTAAAACATCCCTGTGTTATCAACATCCAAAGCATAGGATCATACAAGCTACTATAAAGAAAATTTACTTTATTCCAGTCAAAACCAGTATACCTTTTCGGGAAGTAATCAGCGTGTAGAATAGTGCTATTAGGTAGTTTTATTATTACTTTTTTTTATTGATCTCTAATGTTAAGGTCAGCTAGAGGAACAGGAACTCATTTTTGGATCAGTTTAATCTTTTTACTCTACATTTAAGACACTGCAAATAATGCCATAAAGAAGTTAGTATTTGATCCATCATTCATCATTTAATATAAACATTTTTTACAATGGATTAAATTTTTGCCCAGAATTTTACAATATATGGCTGAGGTTATTCCTTTTGTCCTAGTCATCTTTTATTGATGCTTTTTCTCCTTTTTAATTTATTCAATGTTTCACAAAACTGTGTTGTCAAAATTTTAAAAATCTGTTAGGAGTCCTACAGGGCATCCTGAAAGACTTTTCCTGTTGGAGTCAATGGTGTCTAATACAGGCAAGCACCTCTAAACTTTCCTGGAACAATGAGCTGAATACTGCAGATAATTAACATAGAACACTACAGGAGAGTAATGTTGCAAATGTAATAAAAACCCTAAAGTATGTTCTTTTGGAAAAAGAAAACCAATAGAAAGCGGTGGAATTGTACCAGCATATAGTGAAACTGCAAGAGTTCTTTTTAAAATGTTTCCTTTTAAGCAAGATGCTTGTATTGTGACTTGTAACAGCTCATGTTATTCAGGCTACAGTGCTTGCTTATGGTATAACTCTTTGGCAGTTTGGACATCATTGTCCCTATAGCAGAACTGGCCTAATGGACTACCGGCTTCATTGCAAAGCCATCTGACATACCTTGAACCATCTCAGCTATTTCTTCTGTGGTAAACTGAGCATAACTTTGGTGGCGTGTGTTATTCATAGAGCTTAGGATCATGATTCAGGAATTCCCAAGTTATACGCTAATCTTTTAATACTGTCATACCTTGTGTGGCATTGAACAAATCACGTTGAATGTATAAATGACTTATAAATATTACTGTTTGTGACAAATGTAAAAATTGTTACCAGTCTTAAACTTTAGAATTTTGGAAATGATATCTTCATGAGATTTGTGGTTTGTTAGGGGTTGTTTCCCCCACCCCTCTTTTTCTTCATAGATAGTTAGCTTTTCACTTCACAAGAATCAAGCCCTTCTAAAGGTGTGTCTGACTAGGTAATCAAAAGCCAAAGTACTCAATAGTATTTTCTTTTCCACTTATGGCAAGTACTACTATTTAGTATCTGAATTCCTGCAATATTTTCTTTAAAAAACTGCTTCCTAGTTAATGTGGTATCAAATGTATGATCCACTTTTTTTTTTTTTTAAATGTGAAGAGTCTTATTTGCAACAGGAAAAATACCCAACAACCTGAGTTAAAGTTGTGAATGACTGCTGATATTCCCAATATTTTTAGAGTTAATACATGATCATATAAGTGTCTCTTGTGCTTAATTTAATGTCATTGGATTCACAAATAATAAAACTTTCAGCTGTGCATGTTCAGGATTTAATATCTAGGCAACCTGAAAAAGCATGTGCCACTGAAACAGAACAAACTCCAGTACTTGAAATGTCTTTTTAACATTTTTGTTAAAAATAATGGTCTGGTATCAATCTTTTTGTTTTGTTTTTGTTTACTGGTGTTGACTAGTTGCTTGTCTACGTGGAGACTTGCAGTCATGCTCTTTATTTTAGTAGAGCTTAGTGGTTCTGGGAAGTTTCTTTTTCTACCTGCATCTGAAACTACTTTTACATTCTTATAGTGTCAACAGTCTACACAAGCTAAATCATTGTGACAGTAATAGAATAAGACTATTGTCCTCCAGAGATCTGTGAAGGTTATTGCTGCTGATCACAACAGGGGGATACTATTACAGGGTCAGCCAGTACAAGCAGTTCCTGTTGGTACAAAAACTTGCCTGTTGACTGTGTAGTGCAAATGAGACATATCTATATATTCTGTGTGTCTGCATATAGAGACATTCATTGCTTATTGGAAAAGTACGAACGACTTTGTTTTACATTAACTGGAATAAAAATTGTAAGGAGTAACATCGCTGCCTGTAGAACAGATAATCTAAGAGGAATGTTTTTAACTTGGTTGCATGTATATATGGTGAATTAGGAGGTCAGTATTGATGATAACTGACAGCTGCTTAATTTCTGTAAGTACAAAATTGCTTACTGTATTTATTAGCTCTACCTTTGAAGTTGCTGCCCCCTTCAGGCATACAGAGCTTCGTGTAAATTAATTCTATACAGTGCTTTTGTTTGCTGAAATGGCTTTATTTAAAAATGTATCTTTGGGTACTCAGAACTTGTCAGACAGCTGTCATTAATACCAAAGCTTGGAGAGCCTTAAGGAAATCAACTGAAATATTTTCAAATGGAAAACATAAGGTATTGTAGATAAGGAAGCCACAGGCAGAAAATAAACCTTCCTCCTCTCCCTCCTCCTCCTGCCTCTAATCTTACCTGATACAGGATGTTACAGGCTTTTTCAGTAAGTGTGCATCACATAGTGGACTTTTTTTCTTTTACACTGGGTTTTGCTTTTGCATAACTGTTCTGGAACAATAACACCACTTTGAGATATTATTCAGGAATGTTGAAGTTTTGGATCTTATAAAATTCCCTACAAAACTCCAGAGGTATTGGAACAGACTCTTCAGAGAAGCAAAGAATTGTTACAGTGTATGCAAAGGAAAACACTATTCAGTAAACACAATTTGATTTTTACTAACAGATTTCTTTAAGGGTATACAGGCTGTGTATCAGCGCTTATAGTCAAGAAAATGGGTACTGCAAAATAAACCGTGATAGGCACGTATGGATACATCTGTCATTAAGTAGTCTAACTTACAAGTGCAGCAGGTTCCCGTGATTTGGCGATTTGACCATTAGGGTCAGAAGATCAGACTCTTATACCGCATGTGCCGATTCACGTGCTGCCACCATCATTATCTTGTGGTTCGCATGCCACCTCCCTCCTCTTGAAGGGTTCTGTTGTAGAAGAGGAAAAAGCAATGACTGTCTAATTATTAATGCGCATCCATCTGCCTTAGATGGCAAAAGATGATACCGCTCAGATATTCAGTGTGAGACCTGGAATGCTAAACGTGACTGTCAGTCAAGTTTTATCTCAGTTTTGGAGGACTTTGAGCTTCTTTAGATTTTACTCATTTATGCAGGGAGAAGCAGTAATATTCTCAGCACTGAGTACTAGTGGTGCCACAGTAAAATGCTGTCCTTAATCTGTTGAGATGATCTCCATGGTATCTTTTCTTGTGAAAAGATGAAAAGATGAGCAATTGTTTAAAAAGTTCCTATTGCTCATACCTTTTGGAGCGGTTTGAGACTCAGTTATTTTAGATGCAAAATCGTGAAGAAATCATTTCATCACACATTTCCACAGGAGCGAAATTCTTTTTCTCACATAAAGCTCCTTTTCCTCCTAACCCGCCTTTGAGTTTGGAGTACGAGTTGCCAGTTTGGAATTGATGTACGCACACATACTCTCACAGAACATCTGTATAATTTACATTTATTTCTGGGCCATTTTGTGCGTATTGAAAATACGCATAACAATCAATTCCCTAACATGGAAACTGGCTTTTAATGAATATTGAAAATTAATTATGTTATTTCTTAAATATGAAAGTAGTAATGTCACTGGAAAACATATTGTAAAAAATACCCCAAATATTTATATCTGTAGTATGGAGGCAGGAGGAGACGGAACGCATTAATGGAACTCTTACTGGAGCTGAAAGAAAGGCAGCGTTTTGTGGACTTCTGGAACAAGAGGCACAGCTGATTGCTTCAATTGGGAGACACAAACTAAATGCAGATGAGGAGAATCAACAAAAAGCAATACTGCGCTTTCTGAATAAGGTCAGTGATGTAATTTTGGGCTGAACATAAAGAATACCAAAGTACAGGAACAAAAAAGACATCTGCAAACTACCCGCCAAAAGTAACTTCTGTAGCTTTAGCAGTTAATTGCGTGAATGCTAATGTTATAAACATCCAAATTATCTAGTTGTTGATTTCAATACAATTCAGTAAATTTCTTTTCCAAGTTGAGAATTTCTTAGCTCTGACTAATGAAGGACTAACAGTGCATCATTAAAACTATTAACTACCTGTATCTATGGTAAATCTCAGGTGTGTGTATATAATATAAAAAAATAGCACCAAGTGGATGAATTTTGTATTATGTAAGTATTCTGCATAAAGAACATGATTCTGATGGCACTGTTAACAGCCTTCATTAAAGGCTCAAATTCTAACAATTCAGAATGGTTAATTTGAGGTTATAAAGCAACACAACATTGCATACGAAATACAGTATTTTGTACTGTGTGCCTTACAGTGATGTAGGAATTCATGCATGAAACTATACCCTTCCTTAATCTGTTTTTGAAGCTTTAAAAATCTGCCTATTAGCTTCTCTTTCAAAAATACTCAGTTTCACTAATCAAATCTAATGACTAAGTGATTTTCCCTCTGGTATGTTCTGTTCATTGCTATCTATAGTGAAAAGTTTGCTATTGCATTTAAAATTAAATGCAAATGTTTAAGCAAGTATTCGTAAAGTTAAACTTTAATTCTGCAGAATAGGTTAATTGATTTTTTTAAATTTTTTTTCCTTCTTCACTCAGAAACGTTATCCTTCAGGAACTAGATTTGTCATTTATTTCCCCATTGCGCACAGGCCTCTGGTCACCATATGTCTGTCTTTAAAGAAATCATTTATTCTGTTTTCATGTACAGGATAGAAACCCAGAAGAGCTTTGACTGAATCTTACATCACGTTGAACTCAGTTATTAATTCACTAGTTTCAGTTGCATTAGAACTTTAACTTGAGATTTTATTCTTGTATAATCTTGGGGATGAAATTTAATGCAAGTGTTCTTCAGGCTTTCATCTATAAAACTAAGATGAGAATTCATTCATACATGAAAATTATTTAGAATAGCAGTAGATTTAATGGCAACTTAATGTAAAATACAAAAAAGAGATCCTTTTTAGGTAGATGTTGCAGCAATCCATCCCCTCAGAAAAAAAGAAATAGTTTATTTTCTGGCTGTTTTCATAGTATGTGGAAACAATTGTGAAAACAAATACTGCAACAGAAATAGTTTTTCCACTGTCTTTTTTTTTTTTTTTTTAAATTTTGACTATTTACTGCTCAAAAGAAAAAAATGACAGTTTTGTCCAAAAGAGACTTCTATGCCCTGCTTTGTTACTTTAAGCATATACCTCCTCATGCATGTGTGCTTTTACAGTGGTTGCTACTGGTTGTGTGCGCACTACATTCCAGGTAGTTCTTTTTTGCACTGAGCTCTTTCTTCTTCAGCATTTGTATTTTGAAGAGGAACTATTTGATTAAGCTTTTATATAGCAATCATGTTTTCTCAAAGGAATTCGTGTAATTATTAACTATTGCTCAGTTCGTACCTTTCATGCTTTGTGCTATTTCTGCACCCATCCTATGGATTATTTTTAATTATTTTTTTTTTTCTACTTTTCTTACCTTTTTCTCTCTGTATCTGTGGTGGTGTGTTTCTCTCCTCAGGTGCTTCTTTCTGCTTTTATTCATTAGTAGCAGAGTGCAGTTACAGTAGTCTTGCTCTCTGAAGTAATATAGATAACAGGATTATTGTGAATTCCGCAGCACTGCCAGCAGACTAAAAGGCAAGAAAATGCTGGCAAAAAATCTGGAAGTTTTAGTTTTCTTGCATCAATCTTGAATATATGAAAATAGACTTGAAATCAGAGAACTTGTGATTCTTTCTGAAATACTGGAAATCTTCATAT